TCAAACATGTGGGTGAGCATAAAAGAGAGAGAGAAAGCAGCCCAATGTCCTAGATAAATTAGCCCATCACCTTGACAAAATCGGAAAGGCTATAATGAGGGCTTAAAGTGAGGAGGTTATTTGAGGAGGTCAAATCTCACCATCAACAAATGTAAAGAAATCATGAGAGTTAAATATTTTAAATGTTTTGACGGTCGGATCGGTCTCCTTAAATAACCTCCTCACTTTAACTCCTCATTGTAGAAGCTCCCTGACAAAATAGCCTAACACTTGGTGAAGTTAGCCCATTTATTTGATAAACCTACTTATTGTCCTAGAAGGCCCATGCAATTAAAATAAGGATTTGCAAAAGCCCTAACACATGGCTGTAGAATAAAAGTCTCTACGTATGCAAAGCTGCTGGGAGGCTCCATCACATGGAAGGGAACGAATTTCAAGCAAAGGTATTCAAAGGACCAGGGAATATTAGCTCGCAAGCTGCCAAGAGGGGAAGCACCCTTCGAACCAGCATGTATACCCATTTATTTCCTTCATCAGATCTAGCCATGGAAGAAGGAATGAAAGAAAAAGGAAGAAGGTTGAAAATGAGAGTCCCATACTGAAACAATTGTGGGAAAAGCCTAGAGCTCCCAAAAATCCATGTTTTTGTGCAATTGGGCAGAGAGAATTTTACCAATATAGGATAAGTCAAGGGAGGAGAGGAGAAAGGAAGGGAAAGATTTAGCCAAATTGGATAGAAACCATTAGGGTTTCTTGGGAAGGAGGAGCTTTCAGCAGCTATAAATGAAGCACCTCCTACCCAACAATCAACAACCACATCCAGAGAGCAAGCTTCCTCTCTTACTTCCAAAACCCAGCAATTTCATGCTCTGTTCATCCTTCTCCCCCTTATTTTAACTCCTAGCAGATTGTTCTGGTACTTGACAAAACCTCTGTCGAAGCTACCGGAAAATCACTTAAGCCACCCATTTCCTAGCCTCTCCTCTATTCTCAGCCCAACCCTCTGATAATCATTTCCTCCCTTTCCTTAGAATCCCTGTTTTTTTTTTAAGAAACTTACATCTCTCCCCCTTTAAGGCTAAACTCATGACAACTTTGCTTCCATGCCACAAGCCTCTCATGCCAAGCTAAGAATCTACATGTAAGCGCTAATAACTTATCTCTAAGCTGCCATTGTTTTTGTTGGTGAAGGTGATCAGGGTGTTTCCTAAGGCTTCACTATCCTTTCAAACATTTTGAGGTCTGATCCTTGAACTCAGACACAGGGGGTAGTCTCATTCATTTTGCTCTTTAAGGCAGCCCAACCCACTTGTAGCTGCCAGAAGAAAAAAAGCCCCTACATAAATTGGCGACTCTATTAGGGATTACGCCCTTATCTTCATCAATGCCTCCAAAGAAGAAGAATAGAAGCAATAACATGACTTCCCAAGACGGGCTAGACCATGGTGATTCGGAATCAAGGCAAAATGCCTTATCTAGAGAAGAAGAACGTACAAGTGAGGGAGCTTTTACTCTCTCAAACCTTGTTGCAACCATCCATGCCATAGGAGAGACCCGGAGGGAGATGGCAAACACAATCAAAGAGCTGAAAAGTTCAGTTTCTAAGCCAAGGGAAGAAAACGAGAGAATTCAACAAGAGGAGTCTACTGCTGCCAGAAAGGGGTCTGCACAAAAAGGACCATCTTTTGTCACCCAAGAAAACTTCATTGCTATGCTAGAAAAGGAACCAAGTCGAAGCCAGGGGGATTAGAAGTATATTCCTCAGCCACCATATCCATCAAGCTTACTCCAATAGCCGTATCCCAAATGCTATGAGGCACCAAGCTTTGTCCTCTTCGATGGAAGAAAATGGAGCCCGAATGAGCACATCAATCCCGTCATTGATGCCTTGGGACCACATGCTGGTGATTATAATCTCCAGCTTCAAGAATTTTTGAAAAGCCTTACTGATCGTGCTTATACGTAGTATACAATGTTGGCACCAGACTTTGTTCGTTCTTGGGAAGATTTGGCAAACAGGTTCTGTAAGAAATATTTCTAGCATGAGGAAAGAGTTACTACCACTCAACTCAACAACACTCACCAAAAATATGGGGAAGATCCCATGGACTTTGTGCGCAGGTTTCAGGACCTAACTATGGATTGCTATGATGAGAAGGACAAAGAGGCGCTTGTCGAAATTTGCATCAGTAATATCGTAGCAGATTACATAGTTTATTTGGAGAATATTGGCATCAGCCAATTTTCTCGGCTACTAGAAGCAGAGAGGAAGACGAGCATGTCTGTCAAACCGACGGGACAGAGGACTTAGAAGACTGAGAAGGAGGCGCACCAAGCACTAACTATGGATGACAAGCCATCTAGTGACCACAACTCGCATAAACGAAAGGATATGGAGACATATCCGTCATTGCCTTGCAAAGACGAAGAATTCCACGCCATCCTTGATACAATGATTGCTGACGGTGCAATCAAACCTCTCAGACCCTACAAAGTCCTTACTAGATAGGAGAAGAATGATCCTATATACTGCCGTTACCATCAATTTGTAAGGCATCCAACCACTGCTGATCAAAACGAAGGGCAAATGAGGTAGCTGCTGTCATTTCATGCTCCGATGATTTGCTCGACGATGATGAACTGTACCACCCATGGAAGAATGACCCAAAGTCGTCGTAAGCTATATGGGAACCTTGCGAAAACATGGAGAAAGCATATTGGTGTAAATATTCAAAACCTTCAAGTTACAACACACCATGACCGCTCATTGACGGATGGGGTGATGATTTGGGCAACGAAGTTTTTACTTTAGACATCGAAAGAATGCTACTCAGGGGCTTCATCGGGACAATAGGAAATAGCTGCTGTAATGTTTCACAATCTTACAGAGGCTGAAACAAGCGTGATAGAGCATTACCTAGGTCTGAAACAGGGGCCCACGGCTTCACATGTCCTCCAAAGGAACCCGAAGTTCAAGTCACTCTTTGACCAACTTGGCTTTGGGCCTCAAGCAAAAGAAGTAGCTGATATAGCTCTTAGGAACATCTCTGCAAAGTCTAATCCTCATTGTTTTTGCTCAACTAAAAAGGTCATTCTTAGAAAATGATAATGTTATTGTCTTCACGAACGAAGACATGGAGGTTCCATATCCGGATCATAGAAGGCCACTTTACTTGGAATGATAGATCAATGATGTGTTTATAAGCAAAGCTTTGGTAGACATAGGCTCCTTTGTCAACATATTGCCTCTGTCTGTGCTTACGGCAGCTGGTATTCCATTATCCAAAATCGTGCAATCTCAAACAGGCATCAGCGGTTTCGAGAATAAGAGTGAGGTCATGATCGATCACATGCAAGTAAACTTGAAGGTGGGGTTGATCCGATCACTTACTAAGTTCTATGTAGTATACGTGGATGTGGCTTACCATGCTTTACTTGGAAGGTCATGGCAAAACAAACACAAACTTGTGGTCTCTACTTACCATCAATGCATGAAGGGAAAGATTGGGCTGAGGTCACTTCGCATACCAGGAAATCAAGCACCGTTCAACAAAAATGAAGTCCATTACTCCAAGGCAGAATTTTACATCGAGTGCACAGGTGCCGGAAGCAACCCATCCAAGGATTTCAGGACCTACCTACCTTCATGGACTGAAATTCGTGATATGAGCAAAGAGGAACTCATAACCATTATCGATCGAGAAAGAAAGAAACACTCGGAAGTCAACAACCATGCTTATGATCATCCCCAATGCTCAAAAGTGACGCTGCCAGACGTACGCATAGTGTATCGCTTATGACAGGTTTGGGGGCTCAACCGTGTTTTGCAGGAAAGCCTTGAGTATGGAGGAGAAGGGATGCAAGCAAACAACTGTAAGGGTCCAGATAACAAGGCATCCATGCCTTGTGCTTTCCATGAGCCAATGACTGCACCCAGGCATATGTAAGATGGTTCAATGGCGGTGGCTGAGCAGCTGAAAACAATTAATTTGAGTGATGATCCCTCTGCGCAAAAGCCCATCTCCATCAGCATTCACTTAACGAGTGAAGAGAAAGGAGTTTTGGCGTCTCTATTAAGGGAATTCCGAGATGTATTCGCATGAAACTACGAGGAAATGCCCGGCTTAAATCCAAACTTAGTAAGTCATACTTTGAATATTGAGCTTGGTACGAAACATGTGGTGTAGCCAATAAGGAATTTTCATCTTGCAATTGAAAAGAAAATCAAAGTGTAAATTGAAAAGCTGTTACCTGCTGGATTCATCAAACCAATCAAGGACCCAACGTGGCTGGTAAATACTATCCCCATTAAGAAGAAGACCGGGTATAATTAGAATATGCACGGATTTTCGGGACCTCAACCGAGCTTGCCCAAAGGATGAGTTCCTACTGCCTAACATGGATATCTTGATCGACTTAACCTCAAGGCAAGGCTTGCTGTCATTCATGGATGGATTTAGCGGCTGCAACCAGATAAAGATGTCGCCCAAAGATGCTGAGAAGACAGCATTTCGAACACCATATGAGAATTTCTATTACATGGTCATGTCATTCGGTCTTAAGAATGTCGGCGCCACATACCAAAAGGCCATGACAGTAGTGCTTCACGATATGATGGGAAAAGAGGTAGGAGACTATGTGGGCGACCTTGTGGTGAAGTCAAAAACTAGATAAAGCCATCAAGAAGTTCTGATAAGGGTGCTGGAAAGGTGTCGGCTATACGGGTTGAAGATGAACCCAAAAAAGTGCACGTTCGGGGTTTCATCTGGTAAATTCTTGGGGTTCCAAGTGCACCACATGGTATAGGTGTGGATCCTGAAAATCTAGAGCCATAAACTCTCTTGCACCGCCTAGAAACCCAAAAGAATTGAAAAGCTTCATGGGGAGATTATCATACATTCGACGCTTCATCCTAGGCCTCACTGCTACAATGAGTGTTTTTACTCCCTTACTTAAGAAAGGTAAGGCAAGTGCAACAATTAATCACTAGGTTGCCCACCATGAGAGCGCCCATTCTGGGACTTCCACTGAAGCTCTATTTGGATGCAACGAACGCAGCGGTTGGGGCTTTACTCGCTCAAGATGACCACGATGGAGAAGAAAGTCCTATTTATTATGTGAGTAGACAATTAAGGGGAGCCGAAACAAGATACCCAAAGATCAAGCTCTTGTGCCTTGCTCTTGTCTATGCTACACAGCGCTTGCAGCATTACTTTCTTTCTCACAAGCTACAGCTCATAGTGAAGTCTGACCCCATAAGGTACTTGCTCACAAGATCGGTGCTATCTGGACGTCTTGCACGTTGGCTACTACAGCTATCTGACTTTGATATCACATGCACAACTCCTAAGGCCATCAAAGGACAAGCCATGATTGACATGCTGGCTTTATTTCCTGAAGTAGAAGAATCAATTCTTTATAAGGAAGCTCTAGGGGAGCTGCGGAAAATGGTTGTTGTTGCTACAGAGGAGGAACTATGGACCCTCTACTTTGATGGGTCTTCTACATCGAAAGGTGGAGGAGCAGGTGTAATGCTCATTAATCCCGAAGCGCAAGCCACGACCCTCTCATTCAAGCTAAATTTCTCATGCACAAATAATATGGTGGATTATGAGGCTTTCATTATGGGAATGTCTACAGCAAGGGAGATGTGTGTAGAAAAAATTAAAATTATTGGGGACTCAAACCTGGTGCTGAGTCAATTGCAAGGGAGCTTTGCTATGAATGAGGCAACATTGGCACCATATCGTACAACTACTGAAAGGCTTGTCAATTCTTTCAAACAAGTCGTGCTGGAACATATTCTGCGGGTCACTAATAGATATGCTGATGGTGAAGAACACCAAGGAATGAAGAGGCTTCACCGGCAGCTGCTGAATGTCAGGTATTATTGGTCTACCATGAAGAACGATGCATACAATTTTGTAAAGAAGTGCCACACATGCCAAGTCCATGCCAATTTAAGCCACAAGCCTCCACATTATTACAGGACATACGCATTCCCTGGCGATACTTGGGGGCTTGATTTGATCTAAACTATCCACCCACCTTCTGACGGCTATATATGGATCCTCACAGCCATTGAGTATTTCACGAAGTGGGTTGAAGCGGTTCCTCTTCGGAAGGCCACGGAGCCTACCATTTCAAATTTCATCGTGTGTAGATTCGGAATCCCATACAAGATCGTCACTGACAACTGCACCCAATTTGTTAACAAGCAAGTGAGCTCGACACTTAGTATTACCCTTAAGGAAATGGTCATGCCGAGGCCACAAATAAAACTTTATTGAGGATTCTAAGCAAAATGGTGCATGAGTATGAAGGAGGTTGGAATGTTCACCTGCCGGATGCCTTATGGGCTTACCGCACCTCTCCAAGAAGCGCCACAGGCTTCTCACCCTATTCCCTTGTGTACGAGTCCGACGCCATCTCACCCTATTCCCTTGTGTACGAGTCCGACGCCATCTCACCTGTTGAAATTACCATCCCCACCGCCATAGTACGTTAATGACCTCGAATGGGATACAACGTCATGCTCGGATTGGCGCTTGCTGAACCTCGAGGCCTTGGACGAAAAAAAGAGCAAAAGCAGAAAGGAGGATAGCACTGTACCACAGAACTGTAGCTTAAGCCTATAACAGGACAGTCAGGCCTCGCGCCTTCAAGTAAGAAGACCTCATGCTAAAAGTTGTGGAGCACGTAAGAAGACAAGTGTCGGGACCTTCCAAGTTTTCCCTGTAATGGAAAGGCCCATTCGCGGTCAAAGAAGTCTACAGCAGCAACTATTATCGCTTGGTCTCTTACAAAGAAGGCACACTAACGGATCCCATCAACAGGAAGTGGCTCAAGCCTTACTACTGCTAAGTTAATCTTGTGTCAAGCACTTTTTATTATTGCATTTCCTTTTGTTTTAGACATAAACTCCTTCTGTCTTACCTTCGTATTTTGAAAAAAGATACTTTTGTGAGGTGCACCATCATGGTAGCAGGGGCTTTGCAATGAGAATGAAGGATTATTTTGAAATATATATATGTCTCTGGAGTTTTACTATTCCTTTATACATTTTAAACCCCTTTTACACTAAAACAAAACAAAAAAACAAAAACAAAAAACAAAAAACACGCTACCTAACAATAAAACATGCCAAGCAAAGTCAGTTGGATAGGGTCCTGAACCATCAACAAGCAGCATGCCTAAGCAAAATAATACGCGGTATACAAAGCCAAGCTATCAAACAAAAAAAAAAGGGCAGGCATTCTTGAGGTGCTAGAACAACGAAACCGTTGTCCCCTTTTGATAAATAATCAGAATATGTGAAACATCTGGGAATTTTACAAAACCTTGGTGAAAACCATGCACACACTAGTCTGGCCCTTTGAAGGCATGACTAGAAGGTGTATTTAGACAAGCCTTGCAAAAAAAAAAAATCTAGGAATTCTGTTCCTGCCAAAATTTTGGCAGCATGTACCTTGTTTTTAAGGATATCCGACCTGTCAGAAAATCTCAAGCAGATCACAAAAATAAATTTTACCAACCAAGCAATATATATATATAAGATATGTGGATTACAACATGCCTCAAGCATTCAGAAATTAATACAAGCTCCAGTGATTCAATACTACATTACAAAGTCATAACGACATAGTCGTTAAAGTTAGAGTGTCCCAAAAAAAAAACTACAATCAAAGCGAGATAAAATTACACATGCCAAAGATCCATGCATCCTATAGTCTCAAAAGGAACATAATTATGCACCAAGATAATCAATCACCAGGCCAAGGAAGGACAACCTGCAAGGTAGAAAGAAGGTAGGTGTCAAGACTAAGTGACGCTGGGAGAAATAGCCTGTCAATAAAGAAAAGAAGAAGAGACAAAGGAACTATGTACCTTGAGGCTATGAAGAATGCCCGAAAAGAATGTAGGAAGCCCTAGGAGACGATCTGGCTGCTGCTTCCGCCACACATTCAGCACTATCAACAGAAACACCTTTAGTGAGAAGAAGGGCATGTAATTCTCGGCGTTGGTCCTCTAACTCTCGCTGCTTAATGTTCAAAGTGTCGACTGCGGCTTTTACCTTGTAAGAACCAAGCGATGAATTCATGCTATGAATGGCACGTGCTAAGTTCCTCACTAAATTGAGGAGGAAATCCACATGAATTCCCAAAGTTATGGCCTCACAAATCGTGTCTCGCCAACAAAGCAGTCTATGATCAGTGATATCTAGGAGCTACATGGTGTCTATCCCGTGAAGCACCAAGCCAAGGGCTCGGAAGGCAGCACTCCTTGAGAAAGAAGAGGTGATTCCAGTAATCTCCATGAAGCTCCCATATTTGTCCATGAATTTTCTCAAGACTGCAACCGTCTCTGGATACACAAGAGTGCCTTGGAATGTCACATAGCCATTGAACCTATGGCAAAGCATAAGAAGCTCATCGATGGACTGGAGAATTGTGACGCTGCCATCAAAGAAGGCTTTGAATGCTGTGAAGGAATTTTCCCATTCATGCCAGGACATGTTTTTCTCTGATAAATGCCCCACGGGACCTTGCCGACAACCTGCGTGGTGTTAGTGACAGCAGCAGGAAGGACAACGCCAGCCTCCGGTGAGCAACCTATCGTGTCCTAGACAGTGGGCACAACCTGCAAGAGAAGTGCGAGGCATGAGTTGTGAGTCACAACAGGCAGCATGCAGCAAGTATATACCAAGTAAAACAAGCGAGAAAATTGTTTGATACCGATTCAATGTCAACATGCCGCTCATGGTCACTAACGAGTTCAGGAGGCATGTCTTAGGCATCCGATTTCTCCGAGTATCGGGATCCGGGTATGTGTCTTCGTCACGACTGTAATATTGGTCTTCGTCAAGGTCCTCATCCATACCACTTGTGTCGTGAATGCTCTCTTGCTCGTGGATGCTAATCCCAGTTTCTACAGCATCATCTTCGTCACTTCCATCGTCATCATCATCAACTGTCACCACTACCTTGGGTCCCGAGTTTTCATCCTTGCTTTTGCGAGCACCAGCGGACCTCGTTTGAAGTATGCGCATGCTTCGACGCTTTGGAATCGCGGGGACTTCCTTGCCTTTGCCTTTGATTTGGGGAGTGCCTGTAAAAAATAAATAAATAATAAATAAATAAAAAAGGCGGGAAGCAAGTTCAAAACAAATTTTTAAAAAAAAAACAAACACATACATGAATTGTGAGTAAGTGGTACTTACTGTGAGAAGATAGCTTCTGGCACCTCGCCAACCTGCTTGTTGCTGTCAGATGCCGCAGGTTGCTGCTGTAGTAAGGGCACTGTGGGAGTATTCCCTTTAGAGCTAGGAGGACCACTTGCTGCTACATTGGGGATAAACTTTTTCAGTTCCTTTACAGCTTTCTTCTTCTTCTCAACACTGCAGCTTTCCTCTTGCTTTTGCTTTCCATGTGCAACACTTCTCTCGGCACTGTGAAAACCCGACCTTTTTTAACTTTTGTTTTAGCTTGAAAAATCACCAACAATTTCCCCACTTTTGGAAGTGAAGGGCAAGTTCCGCTTCTCACTCAAGGAGATGGCCTTCTCTTCTGACACTAAGCGAGCATGACGAATTATAATGGGAAGTAATCTATCGCAATAAGCAGCATCGAACCGACTAAACGAAGCAAAATAGCAATTCCAATAACTTTGGTAAGCTTTCAAGAGGCCACCAGCACCCCCCTTGTCGACCAAAGCAAGGGCAAGAAGTCTGCCATCTTCCGACACGTTGTCCTGGTCCAAAAGACCCTATATAATGAAGAAGGATCTCTATGGCTAGGATTGGAAGGTACACCCTAATCAAGCCCAAATTGTCGCCTGAGTCGGTGTGGTGAATAATGCACAGAAATCTCCAAGTGGTCATCACCTAGTGTGGGCAAAGGAAGGCATGCGGCACTTAACAGTGCTTCTCTTCGTAATCGACAACCTTGTGCCTTCATTGCAGGGGCCTCAACCAGATCGTCAGAATCAGCATAGAAGGGTACATGTTTAAATCCCTCCGATAAAACACGGTAAGGACGGAAGATGAAGATCTCAACATCGTCCAACAACTCCAGAATATTTTGACCCTTCCTTTGCATTCGCTAAGACCACCTGCAGATCAAAGGGAGTCTCCCTGGTATGTAGGAACCCTCATCAGAATCAACAAGTAACTTAGCCTTTGAAAAGGGAAGCGGAGCACCTTTATCCCTTTGAAATGCTCCCATATGAAGACTTGCAGAAAGCTGAAGTTCAAGAGAGTCTCGATAACCATGGTTCCTGTGGCCCCTCTCTTGAGAAACTGAACTTGGTCAAGTAGGTAGTACAGATGTCCCAAGAACATGGGGGCTAGAGGAATCACGCTGCCAAGCGCTATCACCAAGGCCAAAGGGAACACCCTCTCGTGCAAGCAGTCTTGGGAAAAATCATAGAAAAGGAATCTCACAAGCCATAATGATATAAGCGCAGCAAGACGACATGGCTCATTCTTGTTAACATCCTTGAAATACTGTATCTAATTGCTAAATCGTAGATAGGTGCTAGGAGAAGTCGGGGCACCCTTTCGTAAAACCTCAAGTTTTAGTTCATCCTCTGGAATCAGCATGACATGGAAGGGATCTTGGCCGCCTCAAATTGGGAGGTGAAAAATGTTGGCCACATCCTCAAGTGTGGTAGTAAACTCTCCCCATGAACAGATGAAGGTGTGCGTCTCGGTACTCCATCGCCTAACCACATAACGGAGTATCTTGGCTTCAATGTGGATGTCACACGCTTTAGAAAGGAAGGTAGCGTCCAGCACCCCTGCCCAGTTTAGGATGTCACAGGAAGACGAGTCCTTCAATTCACGGTCAACCCACTCTGACCAACTCTTGCTGGTGCCACATGGATATTGGAAGAATAAAGGGACTGCCAGAAATGGACCTCTCTCTATACAGCACCTCGATATAGAAGCAGGATCAACCACTGGAGCTGTTTCTGGCGCTGGGTCTCCATCTATGACTACGTCTTCACCAGCGCTCTTAAGCAAAGGAAGGGGCCT